AATCGGATGGCAATCTTTTAAATTGAATTGGGAAATTCAGAAAACGTATTGGTTTTGTTTGCAAGAAATTTTGCAGATTTGTGTTAAACATTTATCTTAAAAGTTTTTTACTTCGAATATGTGTAAGAAAAGATAATTATTGAAATATTTTGTAATATTACGATGAAGATTGTTAACAAAAGAAAAATATTTTACATATGTTTTCGGTTGCCATTAGAAACAAAGATTCAAATATGCTATATATTGTAGACAAAAATGAAAATATTTATTTGCCAGGAATAAATCATTTGAGAATAGTTTGATTTAATTATTAAGAAAGAAAAAAAAGGTTTTAATTTACCAAAAATAAAATATTAAATGATCAATTATATACATATATATTAAAAATGATGAAGAAAATAAATGTTATTTTCTTTAAGTAAATATTAATCTAGATATATATATGTAAGTTTCTGATTTTCTCGATTCAATTAAACATTGAACCGTTTCGAGTTTGTATTTTTCTTCCTTTTAATGTTATTATCATGAGATAAGAGTAAGGAGACTTAACTTCATAGTGGAGAGACAAAAGTTAGTTACTAAAAATGTTTCATATGAGATCAGATTCATCGAATGTCATTGTTAATATGTCTACAGGAATAACTTACAACATTTCGTCGTCATTTTGAATATTATATATGTGTATATTGTATACGTGTATTATTAATTATGTTTAACTATTTTTGTTTTAAAAAATTGTAGCATTATTATTTGTGAATTCATTTTGTGAAATTTTATTATATTATTCACACCACGCATCTCATTGTAATCATATTTTTAACCTTTTTATGTCACCATCTATCATTTACATACAATTTCAAGGTGACAAAATATATTATTCCGTTTAACGAACCTGGCCGATACAGAACACTTTTTATTGTCACTTTCAATTTATATAGTTATATCTCTTTACTCTTATTTCATGGGTTTATAATTCTAATATAGATGGGAATAGGAAGTTTGATAATAATAGCGTAACACACATTAAAGAAATAATATAAAGCATTCCAAGATTTGCTGGAAACAGCCATATCTTGATGTTACATTTTATGTCACAATGTAAAAAGTATACACAAATAAGAGAGAATCTGCTTATATTTGCTTTGACGTCGCCATTTTATTTTTATCTTTACAAAAAAATTAATAATTAAATTTTTTTATACCTTGCAACAGTGATAAAATAAATAAATAATGATATGAACTACTGAATGATATTTAGTACAGAACGTGAGAAAACTGCTTAAAGCAAAAGATAAAATATCTAAAAAAATTATTGATCAGTTTCCAACAATATTGAATTATAACTACACTACGAAATTGTAAAGTATATTTTAAATTTATATTATAAGTGCGTCGATACTGTCCAAATGCTTATGAAAATAAATATTAATTAAATGTTACCAAGTCAAACTTATTTTACTTATTAGCAAATATATCTATATGGAGCAAATATATCTATATTGATAAGTTGATAAGATTCTTTTCTGTTGTTTCCTCTTTAAAAACTTTAATAGAACATGCGATGTTTTAAAGGAGAATTTTCCTCAAATTCTTAACGAAAAGCATAAAGCGACAAGTAAATACAGGCAAATATATTATTTTTTCGTGGCTAAACATCCAAATCCCAATTTTTATAGCAAAAACTTCTGGGGAGATTTGAAGAGAATGAATCATCTAACGTTAAACAATTGATTTTTACAATTGTTATTGTGAACAAAACTTGTTAATGAGATTTTAATTTCTCTGTAATTATATATATAAAAAATTAAACTTGTCGAAATTATGCTTATTTTAATTCTATCTATTTAATCCGCTGACGAAATCCGGACGATTTCTATTCGATAATAAACGTTGTAAAAATTGTTCCACATTATCGAATTTCGAAATTCCACATTAGGCGATTCACTTCACTTATTAGATACTCACGATGTAACATATTCGAATTCTATTGTATATATTTTATAGCAGATAATAATGCTTGGCGCACTACATAATCTTTAAGATTATAGCGAAAAAAAATACTTAATATGTCATCGACGAAACACGTAACAACTAATCCAAACAATCTTCAAGAGGTGTTTAAAAATTGTTTTAAAAAATCAGCTAGAAAATTAAAATATCTCTTAAATGCTTAAAGAAGATTGAAAAATCAGAGCGTCTTTTCAACAAAGATCAGACATCTTCTGATATTCAAAAAAGCTGATCTCTAAAAGCTTGTTTAAATGTCTGGAAAACATTCATCATATAAAAAAAGCTTTTTTTAAAAAACTTTTATCTAAAAAATGTTTTCTCTTTACATTTGAGAAATTTTAGAGAGCTTTTTTATATCTAGATGAGATCTGAGAAATTAGAATATTATTTGGACGTTTCTTGGAAACTTACAAAATTGTATCTCTGTATTTATGATTGCCCACTTAGAATATAGCGAAGTTACTTTGAGAACGTGATGTTTATACTAGAATATATTATAAAGTTATACGCGATACGATACAGGGTTTCCATTCCATTTACGTGCGAACTGCTTTGGATACGACGTCCATGAAACGTCCTCGAAAGAAAATTATGTGATGTTTGATTATAAGAACGTTCGATCAAATATATCACGAGACAGAAAAGAGATAACTTTTTTGAAAAGAAATTTTTCCTTATCATATAAATAAAAAAGGCAAGCGAGTATTGCCCGTTAAATATCATTTTGTATATTTTGTTAAGATATTTCTTACATGTCAAGCGAAGTTGACATGTTAGATAGATCTTGGATGCGTTATATAATCATTTTCTTATAATATTTTCTTCTCTATCATGTAATGGTACCCTGTACATATACGTGTGTACGTATATATGTATATATGTATGTATAATTTGTGTATTATAAAGTACTGAAATAAATCTCATAAAGCAACGAAGCAGTTGGAAATGGAGATTTACTTTTATTCCAAGTTTAAAAAATTATTAGCATGAAAATTCGAACTTTTTATTTGATAAATATTTTGTTGACAAGAGCAGAAATATGTTTGAAAAATAGTCTTACAATATACACGAAACATGTGTAATTTTTTTACAAATTCTTGCAAATTATTAAATTTTAACTTCAAGAACGTTAGAATAATTTGCAAATTAATTCTTTTGTTAAAGATAGAATATAATTTAAATTTTTGTATAATTTTCAACACATGCGAAGGGAATTAATTGATTTGAGATATGTAAAAAAAATATTTATATTATATATCATCATTGCAGATTTCAAAAGAAGTGAAATTTATGTTTAAAATGTGTTTCTCTCTTAAGAGTTTTTATAAACTCCAATCACATAGAGTTTAATGAAAAATATCGGAAAATATCATAAAGTTCTACTCTTTAGAATTAATTTATAATTTGTTTATAATTCTTTTTCGTATTTCTTTTGGTTATAAAGCCGCTTTAAATATATTATAATATTATTTGAAAGTCTAAAGATTAATTTCTCTTTTCTTTATTCGATAATTTTTCATTGAATATGCAATTTCTTCGATTATTTTTAAAAAATAAAAAGTTTTTGGCTTTTTATTTTTTTTCCTATTAAAGAATTAAAAAATTGTGTAGAAGAAATAGAAATAATGACTTTCTCCAGTATATTATTATATGTAATATCTTTGAGTGCAATGACAAAATTGATTATCCAATTATACTTGGCTAAAGTTTTTTCGAAAAGAAAGTTATATGTATGTATATATATATATATATATATATATATATATATATATATATATATATACAGGGTGTCCCAAAACTCATAATCAATCTTTCAAAGACAGATTCCTGGGATCATTTGGAGACGATTTTTCTTCAGCGAAAATGTCGATAAAGGCCATCATTTTTTGCATGTTCCCAATTTTTGTCATCATATATCTTTGCAATTAAGTCTTAAATTAAAACTCAACTAAAGTAAACTCTATTTAAAATCTCTATTTAATTGAAGAATGTGGTTTTGTTAATATTTTATTTCTACAAAGCTTAGTTTACGAAAAATCCCTTATTTCCAATCACTTATAATTCGAAAACTATTAGTGCCTCAATATTTTCGTTGAGGAAAAATCATCTTCAGATCATCCCAGGAATGTGTCTTTGAAAGATTGATTATGAGTTTTTGGACACCCTGTATATATATATATATATATATATATATATATATATATATATATATATATACATATATATATATATATATATATATATATATATATATATACGGGATATGAAAAATAAATACGAATTAGAGATAAAGAAGAAATAAATGTATAAAAAGAGTAAAATATTTTCGATTTAATAATATCACCTATATTTGATGAAAATTTTTTTTGCGTTTATCACGCGATAAAATTACTTACTTGAGAATTAAAAAAACGCTAAATATAATAATATATCGTAGTAAGCATAACCATATTATTATTATGTTAATGCAAATATAAGATATATTTAATACATGATTATGAGCTAAATGCAGATGCCTTCAGAGCAGCACATCTCTATTACTATTGAATGCCATCGTTGTGTGTGCATTCCCAAGAAATATTAAGTACTTACAAGAAATATTAAATACTTACGTAACTATTTGTTGAGTTCTTTCTTCCTACACACTATCTATATATTATCATGTATAGATCGAATCTACTTAATGATATATATATATATAGAATGTTAAAAAGTTCCAATTCACAGAAGTCTTATAATAAAAACCTTACAAAAAATTAGGCATTCGCATAATTTTTTGCCATTTATCGTTTCTTACATACAAAAGTTCGATCAAAATTACGAATTGATCAAAATCAAACCAATCATTTTTGTTGCAATGCTTCTATAATTTTATACGGCACCTAGTATATTTAAGAGAAACAACTCCCCTCTTATAATTGATAAATGACTCGGCAAGAAGTATAAAGATGCACGCATATAATTTTATTCCCGCAGTTTTATGTATCATCTGAAGCGATTCACACGTAGAAACTTTACCGATTTTTACATATTGAACAGTGAATTCCATATCTTATATATTATTAAAAATCTTATAATTGAAACAGAATTTTATGCAGAAATAGAATGCACGATATTTTATAATTTAAACAAAGTTTCACACGAATAAATTTCTAAAGAGATTTGCGCAAAATGGCAATGTTGACTGACTGCATTTTCTTGGACACGCTTTTAATATTTTTCTCACTTTTTGCAACGCTTTTCCTATGGTTAAAGTGGAAACACTCTTATTGGCAAAGACGTGGCGTACGCACGTTACCCGCACATTGGTTTTTCGGTCACTTCAAGGATGCAATGCTTATGCGCAAACCAGCGGGAGTGGTCTTCGGCGAGCTGCATCGGCAAGCTGCGGATGAAGATGACGTAATCGGAATTTACATCTTACACGAACCATTCCTACTTGTGAGGAATCCAGAACTGATCAAACAAATCATGATTAGGGACTTTCATGTATTCCCAAATCATCATTTCGACGGTAGAAGCAAATCCGATACTCTTGGCAATTGGAGCCTCTTTACTATCAAGAATCCTGAATGGAAGCAATTGCGGTAAACAGATTTACGTACTTGTATAGATTGTAGATTCAATATATTTAATTATTTAATTTTATATTCTCTCCTCTCTTGTTGTAAATTATTCTTATATTATTATAGTATTAAATTATTCTTACTTCATTTTCTAACATAATTATCAAGTAATTTTGATTCGCAGGACAAAAATGTCGCCAGTGTTTACGAGTGGCAAGTTAAAGAGTCTCTTCTTGCTTATGCAAGAATCCGGAGAGATGATGAGAGAATATCTGCAAGGTCAGTTCGTCGACTCCAATATCGCATCGATACCTATCAAGGACATATTCTACAAGTATACCACTATTGTGATAGCTTCCATGGCATTTGGAATTCGAGCAAATTGTTTCGACACACCGCCACCAGAATTTTTCATAAACTGTAAGTAAAATATAAAAATATTAAAACGATCTTTATAAAGACATAATTAATCAATCAAATGTTTGACAAAAAAAAATATATATATATATCAAGTTTGAAACGGTCCGCCTTTCTCGACGCTCTGGATCGGCTCGTCAGATCGTCAGGATTCGAAAGAAGGAGGGAAAACAGACTTGTGTGATCATTTTCGGTTCTACTAGAATGTATTTATTTAATCTAATGCATATGTACAATGTATGTGTGTGCGTGTGTGAATGTCAGTGTATCTAAGTGTGAGAAAAATATATACTAGGTGTAGTAACGAAATAGAAATCGGTGAACACGGCGCGTGCAAACGATATCTAGCGGGTAGACGGAAAACGCATAACTAGTCTTCATGGTACGACTAGCGCGTATGAACGGTATCGAATGGCCACGGTAACACGGGCTTATATCTACAGGGGGTCAAGGAATATTTTACAGGTCTTCAGGACGGACACGGGAAACACGGAGCTTAGGGGCTAGCATCCTGTCGACGGGACTAAATGTCAAGACGGCTCAGAAATGCCGGAGACACCCCGTGAAGTCGGGTAATACCTCGACTTGGGTAGGTACGGGTAATACCGGAGATACCCGGTGAGTCAGGAGACATATCGTCTCGGACTGATTCACGAAAACCGGAAATATCCGGTTCGATCGAGAGACACCTCGATCGAAACTGGTACTGGAGCCGGAGACATCCGATGGGAGTCGAGAAACACCTCGACCTGGATTGGTATCAGGATTCCGGAGACACCCGGCCGGGAGTCGAGAAGCACCTCGACCTGGACTGGTATCAGGAAGCCGGAGACACTCGATCTTCGGTAGGAGTCGAGAGATACCTCGATCTGGACTGGATGACCGCAACCGGAGACACCCGATCCCGATGCACTGATCGTGCCGGCTTATATACTCGGTTAGAGATTCTCTACCTGGCGAATCGCTCAGGTGGGACACGACTGCGAGAGATGCGAATATTCGGACGAACGAGTGAGCGAGACAACATGCGATAAGCGGTGAGAGCAAGCGAGAAAGCGAGCGTGCGAATGAGAGAGCATATGAGCGTGCATGGTTGCGAGCGAGATAGCTGGTGCGTATCGGAAAAATTAGCGGGTGAGACAGATAGGTGAAGCGAGTAAGGTGTAGTATAGATATATTTATTAATACAAATAAGAAAATAGTGACGATGCGTGAACGCATCGTTACAAGTTTATATCCAAATATTAATATAATGTTATACAGTATTCTATAGATAAAATAAAGGAATCTCATATGGTCCTTTTTGTTTTCTCACTTATACAGCACGTAAAGCATTTCAACCGACTCTTTCGAGAACCTTGCGATTCTTTTTTATGTTCTTCTTACCGAAAATTGGAAAATATCTGGGTCTTAAAATGCTGGGTGACTACACGGATTACTTCCGCAAAGTGTTTTGGGACTCTATGGACAATAGAAGCATCACGAAGACGAAACGGGGAGATCTGATCGATTCTCTTTTGCAATTGAAAAATGAAAATGCAGATGATACTCATTTCCGTGAGTTTTGAACTACTGCATATATTCAATTCTAATTAATAATATTAGACGCTAAAAAATGATGAATAAATATCTGGAATAAATAAATTCAAAATTAAAATAATTTAACAAAATAATCTTTATCGTTCATGCTTTCTTCATTACGCTTCTTCTCAGGATTCGAAGGGGATATCCTTCTTGCTCAAGCGGCAATCTTCTTTGTGGCCGGTCGTGAGACTAGTATTACCACTATGACCTATGCTCTCTGCGAGTTGGCCAAATATTCGGAAATGCAGAGACGCGCGAGAGAGGAGATCCTCGAGAAGATTCAGACCGCGAACGGCGTCACATATGAAGCGGTTAATAACATGAAATATCTACATCAAGTGATAAACGAAACGTTAAGACTCTATCCATCTGCGCCAATTCTGGATAGGACTCCCATAGAAGATTATACGGTATAAGAAATTATACGTTATACATTATACTATAGATCACCCACTTTTCTTTCAATGATATATCATTTATCGAAATCAAAATGTCGATACGAAGAATAACAGTTCAATTGAAAAAATAAATAAATTACAGTTACCTAATACAAACATAACTATTGAGAAAGGGACACCGATATATGTCGCATTATACGGAATTCAGAGAGACCTCAGATTCTATGAGGATCCTAAGCGTTTCGATCCTGAACGATTCAGCGACGAGAGAAAAAACGAGATTGTACCTTGCACCTTTCTACCTTTCGGCGAGGGCCCGCGAAATTGTATAGGTTGGTGCATCATAGACTACAGATGGATTTAAAATGTGTTTGGAATATAGAATTTACTGGAGTGAATCTTCTTCGACATTTATCAGGCGATCTATTCGTTCATTTATTATTTCTACAAAACACAAATGTAAAGAAATTACAATTAGAGAAATATGCTTATTATTAATTTTCTGTAATCTTTGCCAATTAAATTTTAGTATTGTTTATAAAATTGAACATATTAAGAGATTTATTAGCAAATAATTTTAATTACATTTTATATATTCAACTACAACAAAAAATTTGGAATCCGCTTATGACTTGTTAAATTTTCTGTAGATTGATTTTCCACTTGATTATTAGGTATGCGACTGGGAATTTTGCAAACCGCCGTGGGATTGATAGCGATTCTACGTGATTACGAGGTTTCGTTGAATCCTTCGTGGATGTCCATAGTGGATACGCGAAATGTGTTCACTACGCCGCCCGCAGGATTTTTGCTGAATTTAAAGAAGATATAAGATATATATGATATAAGTATTATATGTAACCATATATGTATATTTTAATTCTATCATTTGATATGTATATTTTAATGCTATTGTTATTTTATTATCCTATGTTATTGGATGTATCTTTTTCCAGTGTTGAATATAATTCAGAGAATTTTTTTCATTGAAAAAGAGATCATTTGAATACATTTTGATCTCAAAATATAAGCACAAGACAAAAATGCACAAGACAAAAATGATCTCATCGATTCTCTTTATTTCAGTTATTTAGTATTGTGGTATCATAAATTTACACTATTGAATTTACCATGTACATTATGTTATAATCTATATATATTTTGATTCCTGTATATATTTTACGATTAATATTTTCTTGCTTATATAAATTAGAAAGAAGAAAATTAAATATAAATGTAATTAAAAGGATAAAAATAAAGTAGAAATAAATGTATATATATACACATCATCACCGCAAATTTCACAGAAGTGAAATTTACCTATGTTTAAAACTGTGTTTTCCTTTCTTCATCAAGAGTCTTCATCAACTCCAATATCACAGATTTTAATGCCGGAAAATATCGTGAAGTTTTAATTTTTTTAAAAATTAATTTAAGATTTTTTTTATAATTATTTTTCGTATTTCTCTTGGTTATGAAACTGCATTGAATACATTGCAAAAAAATTTGAAATTCTGAAGATTAATTTCTGTTTCTTTCATTCGATAATTTCTTATCATTGAATATACAATTTCTTTGCACCTAGTTTAAGAAAAAACACACAAAACCCCTCTCTTATGATTGATAAATGACTCCGCAAAAAGCATAAAGATGCCCGTGTATAATTTTATTCCCGCAGTTTTATGTATCATCTGAAGCGATTCACACGTAGAAACTTTACTAATTTTTACACATATTGAAAAGTCAAAAGAATTCCATAGCTTATATTATTCAAAATCTTGTAATTGAAATAGAATCTTATGCAGAAATAGAATTCAAGATATTTTATAATTTAAACAAAGTTTTACACGAATAAGTTTCTAGAGATTTGCACAAAATGGCGATATTGACTGACTGCGTTCTCTTGGACACGCTTTTGGTATTTTCTTTACTTTTTGTAACGCTTTTCCTATGGCTAAAGTGGAAACATTCTTATTGGCAAAGACGTGGCGTACGCACGTTACCCGCACATTGGTTCTTCGGTCATTTGAAGGATGCAATGCTTTTGCGCAAATCAGCAGGAGTGATCATTGGCGAGTTGCATCGGCAAGCTGCGGATGAAGATAATGTAATCGGAATTTACATCTTGTACAAACCATTCCTACTTGTGAGGAATCCGGAACTGATCAAACAAATTATGATCAAGGACTTTCACCTGTTCCCAAATCGGCATTTCGACGGAAAAAGCAATTCCGATACACTTGGCAATTGGAGCCTCTTTTCTGTCAAGAATCCTGAATGGAGGCAATTGCGGTAAACGATTTACGTACTTGCATAGATTGTAGATTCAATATATTTAGTTATTTAATTTTATATTCTCTCCTCTCTAATTTGTTGTAAATTATTCTTATATTATTATAGTATTAAATTATTCTTACTTCATTTTCTAACATAATTATCAAGTAATTTTGATTCGCAGGACAAAAATGTCGCCAGTGTTTACGAGTGGCAAATTAAAGAGTCTCTTCTTGCTTATGCAAGAATCCGGAGAGATGATGAGAGAATATCTGCAAGGTCAGTTCGCGGACTCCAATATCGTATCGATATCTGTCAAGGACTTATTCTCCAAGTATACCACCATTGTGATAGCTTCCATGGCATTTGGAATTCGAGCAAATTGTTTCGACACACCGCCACCAGAATTTTTCGTAAACTGTAAGTAAAATATAGAAATGTTAAAACGATCTTTATAAAAACACAATTAATCACTGAAAGGTTTATATATATATATATATATATATATATATATATATATATATATATAAAGTTTGTATAAAAATATTATACAATGTTATACACTATTCTCTATAGATAGAAAAAAGCAATCTCATATCGTAATGCACAATCCCTTTTGTTTTCTCACATACACAGCACAAAAAGCATTTCTACGGAATCTTTCGGTGAACTTCCGATTCTTTTTTCTATTCTTCTTACCGGAAATTGGAAAATATCTGGGTCTTAAAACGCTGGGTGACTACACGGATTACTTCCGCAAAGTGTTTTGGGACTCTATGGACAATAGAAACATCACGAAGACGAAACGAGGAGATCTGATCGATTCTCTTTTGCAATTGAAAAATGAAAATGCAGATGATACTGATTTCCGTGGGTTTTTAACTACTGTATATATTCAATTCTAATTAATAATATTAGACGTTAAAAAATCATGATGAATATATCTGAAATAAATAAATTCAAAATAATTTAACAAAATAATCTTTATTGTTCACGATTCCTTCATTACGTTTGTTCTCAGGATTTGAAGGGGATATTCTTCTTGCTCAAGCGGCACTCTTCTTTGGAGCCGGTCGTGAGACTAGTATTACCACTATGACCTATGCCCTCTGCGAGTTGGCCAAATATCCGGAAATGCAGAGACGCGCGAGAGAGGAGATCCTCGAAGAGATTCAGACCGCGAATGGCGTCACATATGAAGCGGTTAATAAAATGAAATATCTACATCAAGTGATAAACGAAACCTTAAGACTCTATCCGTCTGCGCCAGTTCTGGATAGGATTTCCATAGAAGATTACATGGTATAAGAAATTATACGTTATGCATTATACTATAGATCACCCACTTTTTTTTCGAAAATATATCATTTATCAAAATCAAAATGTCGATACGGAGAATAACAGCTTAATTGATGAAAAAAAAAATTACAGTTACCTAATACAAACATAACTATTGAGAAAGGGATACCGATATATGTCGCATTATACGGTATTCAGAGGGATCCCAGGTTCTATAAAGATCCTGAGCGTTTCAATCCTGAACGGTTCAGCGACGAGGGAAAAAACGAGATTGTACCTTACACCTTCCTACCTTTCGGCGAGGGCCCGCGAAATTGTATAGGTTGGTGCATCATATACTACAGATGGATTTGAAATGTGTTTGGAATGTAGAATTTACTGGAGTGAATCTTCTCTGACAGTTATCAAGCGATTTATTCTTTGTTATTTCTACAAAACACAAAATTAGAGAAATGTTATTAATTTTCTTTAATCTTTGCCAATTAAATTTTTAATATCGGTTATTAAAAAAGAATATGTTGAGAGATTTGTTAGCAAATAATTTTAATTACATCTTGTATATTTTACTATTGCAAAAAATTTGGAATCCACTTATGACGTGTTAAATTTTCTATAATTTTCCATTTGATTATTAGGTATGCGATTGGGAATTTTGCAAACAGCCATAGGATTGATAGCGATTCTACGTGATTATGAGGTTTCACTGAATCCTTCGTGGATGTCCATCACGGATACGCGAAGAGTGTTCACTTCGTCACCCGCAGGATTTTTGCTGGATTTGAAGAAGATATAAGATATATAGCATATAAACATTAGCTATATATATTTTAATTCTATCATTTGATATTTTATTCTATATAATTTGTGTTTCTTTCCAGTGTTGAATTTTATTCTGAAAATTTCTTTTCATTGAAAAAGAGATCATTGGAAACATTTTGATCAAAAAATATAGGTGTAAGAGACAACAATGATCGATTTTCTTTATTTCAGTTATTTAGCATTGTGGTATCAAAAATTTACAATATTGAATTTACTACGTACATTATGTTATAATCTATATACAATATATATATATATATATATATATATATATATATATTTTTTTTTTTACGATTAATATTTTCTTGCTTATATAAATTAGAAGGAAGAAAATTAAATATAAATGTAATTAAAATGATAAAAGTAACGTAGAAATAAATGTATATATATACACACATCGTCACCGCAGATTTCACAGAAGCGAAATTTTCCTATGTTTAAAACTGTGTTTCCCTTTCAAGAGTCTTCATCAACTCCAATATCACATAGATTTTAATGTCGGAAAATATTGTAAAGTTTTAATTTTTTAGAATTAATTTAAGTTATTTTATTATTCTTTCTCATATTTCTCTTGGTTATAAAGCTGTTTTAAATATATTACAATAATATTTGAAATTCTAAAGATTAATTTCTCTCTTCTTTATTCGATCATTTCTTACCATTGAATATACAATTTCTGTGACTATTTTTAAAAATAGAAAATTTTTGGTATTTTATTTTTTATTTATTAATTATGTAGAATTAATTATGTAGAAGAAATCATAACTTTCTCTAATAAATTATTATATGTAATATTTTTTGGTACAATGTCAAAATTGATTACTCAATTATACTCGGCTAAAGTTTTTTTGAAAAGAAAGTTATATATATTGTATATTTATAAATATTCTGGTAACACATTTTTTATATCATATATATATATATAATGATATAAAAAATTGTGTTGCTGGATTTATATAAAAAAATAATAAAAGAAAATTAAATAGTGGAAATATGGACACAAAAAACAAATACAATTAAAGATAAATACAAAATTAAAGATAAAGGAGAAATAAATATATATAAAAAGATCCACGAGGAGTGAGGAGAAAAAAATAAATTTTTTGCATATCAAGAGATATTTTCTCGGAGTAAAATATTTTCGATTACATAAACAATGGTCTAATAATATAATATCTATATTTGACAAAAATTGTTTGTTCGTTTATCACGCGATAAGATTACTCACTTGAGAATTAATAAAGTAACAAATAATAATCTGAACAAATAATACATCATAGTAAGCATAAGTATGCTACTGTTATGTTAATGCAAATATGATACCGCTGCAAATATGAAGATATATTAGATAGTGTTATAATAGATGATTGTAAAATGATTGTTAAGAAAGTATGCCTTCAGAGCAGCACATCTCAACTACTAATGAAAACCATTGTTGTGAGTGTATTCTCAATCAATATTAAGCAATAATATTATGTAACTGTTTATTTGATTCTTTCCTTCTATCTACATATTATCAGATAAGATAAAATCCACTCAACAATATATATAGGATGTTTAAAAATTTTACAATTTACAGAATCCTTATAATAGAAAAACTTACGAAAAATGAAGCATGTGCATAATTTTTTGTCATTTTTTGTCTTTTACATACAAAAGTTCGATCAAAATTAAGAATTAAATCGAACTACTCATTTTTATTGCAATGCTTTTATAATTTTATACGACACCTAAAATATTAAAGAAAACACAAGTACCCCCTTATGAATGATAAATGATTCGGCAAGTAGCTATAACGATACATAATTTAATTCCATATCTTATATTATTCAAAATCTTATAATTAAAACAGAATCTTACGCAGAAAATATAGTTCACAACGATTTATAATTCAAACGAAGTTTTACACGAATAAGTTTCCGAAAAGATTTGCGCAAAATGGCGATATTGACTAACTGCATTCTTTTAGACACGCTTTTGATGTTTTTCTCATTTTTCGCGATGCTTTTCCTGTGGCTAAAGTGGAAACACACTTACTGGCAAAGACGTGGCGTACGCACGTTACCCGCACATTGGTTCTTCGGTCACATTAAGGATGCAATACTTATGCGCAAATCAATAGGGGTAATTCTTGGTGAACTGCATCGGCAAGCTGCGGATGAAGATGACGTAATCGGAATTTACATCTTACACAAACCGTTCTTACTTGTGAGGAATCCGGAAGTGATCAAGCAAATTATGATCAAGGACTTTCACGTATTTCCAAATCATTATTTCGATGGTAAAAGCAAATCCGACGTACTCACTAATTGGATTCTCTTTACTATCAAGAATCCTGAATGGAAGCATTTACGGTAAACGATTTACATACTTGTATAAATTGTAGATTCAATCTATTTAGTTATTTTATATTCTCTTCTCTCTTTAGTTTGTTGTAAATTATTCTTATATTATTATAGTATTAAATTCTTTTTACTTCATTTTAATTATTAAAAAGTATTAAATTATTCTTACTTCATTTTCTAATTATCAAGCGATTCCGATTCGCAGGACAAAAATGTCACCAGTGTTTACAAGTGGCAAATTAAAGAGTCTCTTCTTGCTTATGCAAGAATCCGGAGAGATGATGAGGGAGTACCTGTGTGGTGAGTTCACGGACTCCAACATCGTATCGATACCTATCAAGGATATATTCGATAAATATACCACCATTGTGATAGCTTCCCTGGCATTTGGAATTCGTGCAAATTGTTTCGATATACCGCCACCGGAATTTTTCGTAAACTGTAAGTAAAATATAACAATATTAAAAGGATCTTTATAAAGACACAATTAATCAATGCAAATTTTGAGAAAATATATATCAAGTTTATATCAAAATATCATACAATGTTATACAGTATTTTATAGATAGAATAAAGAATCTCATATCGTAGTAATGCACGTTTATTTTCTCATTACAGCACATAAAGCATCCCAACGGACTCTTTTGAGGAACTTGCGATTCTTTTTTATGTTCTTCTTACCAGAAATTGGAAAATATGTGGGTGCTCAATTACTCGGTGATTACACGGATTACTTCCGCAAAGTGTTTTGGGACTCTATGGACAATAGAAGCATCACGAAGACGAAACGAGGAGATCTGATCGATTCTCTTTTACAATTGAAAAATGAAAATGCAGATGATTCTCATTTCCGTGAGTTTTTAACTACTGTATATATTCGATGCTAATTAATAATATTAAACGTTTAAAAAAGCATGATGAATCTGGAATAAATAAATTCAAAATTAAAATAATTTAACAAAATAATCTTTATCGTTCACGGTTTGTTCATTACGTTTGTTTTCAGGATTTGAAGGGGATATCCTTCTTGCTCAAGCGGCAGTCTTCTTTGTGGCCGGTCGTGAGACTAGTATTACCACTATGACTTATGCCCTCTGTGAGTTGGCCAAATATCCGGAAATGCAAAGACGCGCGAGAGAGGAGATCCTGGAGAAGATTCAGACCGCGAATGGCATCACATATGAAGCGGTTAATAACATGAAATATTTACATCAAGTGATAAACGAAACGTTAAGATTCTATCCGATTGTGCCAATTCTGGATAGAGCTCCCATAGAAGATTACACGGTATAAAAAATTATACGTTACATATTATACTATAGATCATCCACTTTTCTTTCAATGATATATCATTTATCGAAATCAAAATGTCTATACGGAGAATAACAGTTCAATTGATAAAAAAAAATAAATTATAGTTACCTAATACAAACATAACTATTGAGAAAGGGACGCCGATATATGTCGCATTATACGGTATTCAGAGAGACCCCAGATTCTATGAGGATCCTAAGCGTTTCGATCCTGAACGGTTCAGCGACGAGAGAAAAAACGAGATTGTACCTTGCACCTTCCTGCCCTTCGGCGAAGGTCCTCGAAATTGTATAGGTTGGTGTATCATAGACTACAGATGGATTTGAAATGTATTTGGAATGTAGAATTTACTAGAGTGATTCTTCTTCGTCATTTATCAGGCGATCTATTCTTCATTTATTTATTATTTCTACAAAACACAAAAGTAAAGATATTACAATGATAGAAATATGCTTATTATTAATTTTCTTTAATCTTTGATAATCAAATTTTTAGTATCGTTTATAAAAAAATGAATATATTAAGAGATTTATTAACAAATTACTTTAATTACATCGTGTATATTCCACTACTACAAAAAATTTGAAATCCGCTTAGGACGTGTTGAATTTTCTCTAATTTTCCATTTGATTATTAGGTATGCGATTGGGAATTTTGCAAACCGCCATAGGATTGATAGCGATTCTACGTGATTATGAGGTTTCATTGAATCCTTCGTGGATGTCCGTCACGGATACGCGAAGAGTGTTCACTTCGTCACCTGCAGGATTTTTGCTGGATTTAAAGAAGATATAAGATATATATCATATAAACATTAGCCATATATATTTTAATTCTATCATTTGATATTTTATTCTATATAATTTGTGTTTCTCTCCAGTGTGAATCTTATTTAGAAAATTTCTTTTTATTGAAAGAAAGATCATTGGAAACATTTTGATCAAAGAATATGCAAGAGACAAAAATGATCGGTTCTCTTTATTTCAGTTATTTAGCATTGTGATATCAAATATACGCTGTTGTTGAATTCACTATGTACATTATATTATAATCTATATATATTTTGGTACCTATATATATTTTACGATTAATATTGTCTCGCTTTTGTAAATTGAAAAGATGAAAATTAAATATACAAAAAAAATGTAATCAAAATGATAAAAATAAAACAAAAATAAGTGTATATATATAAATGTGTATATAAATGTATATATAAATGAATAAAAACGCTTATATCGTAAGTGTGATTGTAATTCCGATCAGACTATTGGCAGCACAGAAATGATCCGATACTCTTTATTTCAGTTGTTTGGTATTGTGATATCAAATTTACATTATTGAATTCACTATGTACATTATAATCTATATATCTATGTACATTATAATTTATAGATTTCAGATGCCATTCATACTTTTTCGTTTATGTAAATTAAACAAATTAAATATACAAATTATAAATCAAATGATAAAAATGTAATACAAATAAATATGTATATGTGAATAAAATCGCTTATGACATGATTGCGCGATCTGACTATTTCGGTAGTAACGTCAGATATTTTTTAAATTCTGGTAGTACGCAATCCCGTGGATTGAGCGGTTCTTCTGCCATCAGGTAATCGCTGAGGTATTGCGGCAAGAAGCAGAGGATACCCTTGCTCGCCAACATGGCCCAGTCTACAGGCTGGTTCACCTGTATTTACAAATACATAATAATATATTTTCGCAAATGAACAATTACATATATAAATTTACATGTGTACCATATGTAAATGTAGGCATTTTTCAAACTTCAATTCAATATTATTTAATTTTTTGTGCGAGTTATATATGTGTATATATATATATATATATATATATATATATATATATTCACTTTTTAAAAATACTGGAAAAATTACTGAAGAGAAAAGTCATTAACTTTTAGTGATACAGCATTTCAAATATTTAATCTAGAAAAAAAGTGAGAAAAAGATGAGATATTCTTCACCTGTCTCACATTAACGAAGCAGTGCGTGATTCTGCGTCCCGATGAACTGACATCATAGGGTGGTCTGTGATCAAAAAGAAAATGTACATGATAATGCATAATAGAATTCTTTTTTTTATGAATATTCACCTTGCTTGCGTAACCGAACCACCACCGGCTTCGATCAATCTCTTGAACTGATCGTATTTGTCCTCAGAGACCATTAGCAGTGCCACCATGTCGCAAAACGGACCGTCTGGTTTCTTCTGCAATCTCAGCCGCCACTTATGAGCTGCGGCCGCGATCGCTTGCTCTATGCTGCTGCTTGGTTCCGGAATCACATCTTTGCTTTTTGGGTTACCCCATTCATATTTTTCTTCCTAAAATTTGTACGCATTCGAATATAAAAATTATAAATAAAATTGACAAAAAAACACATGTACTAACATTAAGAAATTTTCCTTCTCTTTCGCAATCTCGTAGATATGACGTATGTAAAAGCCATTTTCCAGCAGCTATGCTACCGAGCATCTTCTCATTTCTGGAAAGCCTGATGCATAAGAGATGCGTAGCACTATTGTCATATTTGGGGTCCGTCGACACTTCTCCGCCGAGATTTTGTATCACTTGTTCATACATTGCCTTATCCTATTAAAACATATTAAAGTACAGTCGCAATATATTAAATTAAATTACATATCTCTTTGAAAATGTTATACCTTTATACCCGAAAGCATAAATCTTCGAATCATTGGCAATTCATTGATATCTTTCTCAGCGATATGTTCGTTGATAATATTATTTCGAATGTTTTCATTTGTTTGTTTGTCTAAAGTTAACTGTAAATTACAACTTTATGTAAGAATTGATAAATATAGGAAGAATTGATAAATATAGGAATTGAATAAGGATATGTAAAAATGATAGATTGGATGTTCATTGCAAGAATAATTATAAAAACTACAATAAATAGGCTATGTAAGAGTTGTTTACCAACTTATGGCTTGATCTACTTATAATTTCTACAATAAAACAGTTTATATTATTATTATTATTATTTCCTAAAAGTAAAATATATAAATTGTCTAAAAGTCTCATTAACTCAGTATAACATGTATTAATGCTACAATATAGCAGTAAATTACTAAAATTACTATTATATTGAATTTAATTTCTCTTAAGTCGAATTTTTTCACGTAATTTTATCAAATGTCAAAAAGCATAACTTGTTCAAAACCATTATTTGTACATATCGCATACATTTGTATATTTTGTTATACTTTAGTTTTTTATATTCTTTACTATCATAATTCGCAAATTTGACTAAATCTCTAGTGGAAGAGCAATAAAATGCATATGATTAGAATAAAACTTTTATTTTATTGTACGAAAGTTCCTTAAAGAGAGAGAAAGAAAGAAAAAATATATATAAATTATCAATCCACATACCCGCTTTGGCTGATTCGGATCCTCCCATACAATAGCGTCGATAGGTTGTGAGTCTTTTATTATACCTATGTTTGTAAAATAATTAATAAATCAGTGATAAAGAAATATAATACAAAATTGTAAATACGAAATTGTATGGAGGCTAGTATGAATATGTATGAACTGAACTTTTAAATATGTAATTGATAAAGAACATATAATACGAAATTGTAAATACTGTTTCTACAATAATAATTCATGATAAATACTTACACTTTTGTATGTCATCGGAAGCTTCGTTATATTTTTTTGTACTTTCTCCTGACATTGAATATCTATTTTCAGGTGTACGCGTTTGTTGAAGCATTTGATCCAATTTTGCTATTTGCCTATTTATATCACAAGATTCAAATTTAATCTCATCAAAATAATAATCTCATCAAATAACATATATTATGTACGAAATAATATAAATAATAATATATATTCAAAAGTATATATATATGTGTGTGTGTGTGTGTGTTCCATCGTTTGAAAAATTTTTGTCTTGTTTCATACTATATATTTTATCTCTTATTTCATTCATTATATTCCAATTATTCCAAAAAAATGAAACATATTATATATATTAATTATATTACATATTTATTTCATCATTCGACAATGGACTATTTTCTTCGTCGAAGTCCAGTTTTCGATTAATAGGGTCAGAAGTTGATGGCGCATCTTTGCTAAATTGATCGGCTTTTCCTTCCTCAGCCTTTTTCGCGAAAGAATCATCATTTGATGTTACTTCACTCGTTGGATTCTGACAATATATAGAATTAATTATGTGTATATGTATATAAAAGAAAAAAAGAAAATCTCTTAATATTATGAAAAACATGGCATTTAATTAAAAATCAATTGCATTATGTTGTTTATTCTAATGTTACAATAAATTTGTTCTGTGCCTACATAAAATAATAAATCAAGATTAAAAATATTCATGACTTACGTTTTGACCTGCATTCTTCAACTTCTCCCACAGTTGTATCTTCAACTCCGAGAGCGGCTGTAAATGTAATGTTTAATTATACCTTATTAGTTTTAATGCGTAATCTAAAATCGCGAAAAAATAATACTCACGGTGCTAGGTGCGCGCCGTTTTAGCGGCGGTTCCTTTACTTGTGAATACGGCAAATCGTCCAGCCATTTGGCCCAAAATTTTCGCGTTTTTGGAGATGGATTAGGTCCTGTAAAAACTTGTCCTAATGGGCTATCTGGAGTACGGATGTGGAACGGCGAGAAAGAATTTGAAATTTTGTTGAAACCTAAGTCATCTCTTATTTTCTTCATTAAGGGGCTGTCGATAGAGTTCATCTCCTGTAATGTTATTAAAATCGTAATCTTAAAAATAAATCTCAATAAAATTGTTGAAGTAAAACAATTTTAGATCGCTTTAATATTAATAAGAATTGAATGTTCTTGAATATATTTGACTTGACTTGTATTAACATCATATATTTAATTTATATTGCACATATACATAATCGTAGAGTATTATTAAATTATATAATATATAGATGTTAACATGAAACGATGATATACGAAAGAGACGATAAACAAAATATTTTAATACTACAACTACCTCAATTTGAGATAAGTGACGTTTTGATGTTAGAGTGGTCGGCGTTCTGACGGTCTCTTCTGCCGGATCTATTCCATTTTTGAGAGTACTCGGTGTAATTTGTTTGAAAGTTGTTTCACTGGTATTAGTATTCGGTCTATCTGGTGCTAATACATATGTTAAAGTTATATACAACACAGAGTTTGAGAAATAAATCGAGAAAATTGGAAATGTTTACAATTCAAAAATTGAGTACATATATATTCTATCAGATCAAATATTTTAAAAATAAAGAAATTTAAAGAATAGAGCACATGTAAAATAACTAATATATGCATAAATCAATTTACCCATTGTTTCTCCGACGAGAAATGGAGTTTCATCTGCGAGTGTTAATTGATCAGCACAGGTTTTTAGCCAATCGGCAGTGACAGCTGGTAACTTCCATCTGACAGCCGCGTTATATTTATCCCCTTCTGGAATAGGGCAAACGAGATGCGTACTGGCACGCGTTTTCTTTTCCGTGTTGGCTTTCCGCGCAAACATATCTTGACATCTGAAAATATCGACAAAATATAAAACTTCAACGTACTTGCTGAAATAGAATCGCTCAATTTTCTTTGTATCTTCAATAACGTAAATTATGCATGTTTTGACGCATGATTTTGGAGTAGTTATACAACTAAATTCGGAGTTTGAATTTATCATTATTATTCGTTATGCGCGATGACTACTGATTGTAAGCTTGACAAATAATCAATCAAAATGTAGCATAATCGAGAATATAAACTATCACAAATAGCAGAGCAGACACGAATATATCGAAATTTTATACAGTAATAGAAGAATAAGAAATATCTACTTGATTTATAACACAAAATCGATTGTAAATTCTAATACATCTTAAATAAATACAATCTCGAATTTTTTTATAAATATAAATTGATAAATATATATTACATAGCGCCAAGTTCCTTAGCCAATGCCGAAAGGTATATTCGTTCTGTTCCGGTATACATGCTCATTGTTATAACACATTCGGACAATGGACTGCAAGACTTTCTAATAGAAAACGGTTTGTGATAATACATGATATCGACAATTCGCTCCTGGTTTATGCAATCTTCCTATTAACAAATCGAAAATTAGCAATATTAATGATTTGCTCTTTATCAAATATAGTAAAAAGAAAAATATCTTATACTCATATATATCTTAAAAAATATAAATTATTCCATCTATTCTTAAAAAATATTTAAAACTTTTAAAGAACAACTAAAATCTATAAAAGATACATACGATAAACAAATCAGTCACAATTTCGTTAACAGTATGTTTTAAAGGTGTGCCTTGCAGAGGCACGATGCCATAATCCGGGATACCACTGTATGTTTTCGAAACTACGTATCCACCCAACATTTCGATTGTTTCTTTCACATTATTATCCTCGTTATCGAAATCAGCCACAACAAATGTCAAGCCTGTACATAAATTATATTTAATAATCTTTAAAATATATCTCCTTTCGTCATTTTTTTCTCTAAAGAAACGATCTTACATAAGAAACTTATATGCAATTAATTATTTCCAGAAGAAAAATTTAATTTATCTCGTAAAAGATACTCTTTAATATTTATCTCTGTCTTGCAAGATTATGTTATATATATACATAAACATGTAATTACTAATTATTTCAAAATATGGAAATAGTGAAAGTAATAGAGTATAGATCTTTTTGATTATACCTCTGAGCAACTTTTCGTTTATTGTGCAACTTTGACTAAGTGGTACAGAGCTTTCTTCAGCCGCATTTTTAATTGGCGTGATGTTCGAACGAATTTCACTGACGTTACTGGAATTACCTCCATCTTTATCCTGCAAAATAGACTTCGTGTTGCTATATTCTGTAATCCAAGTATCTGCAATTAAAATAAAAAATATCTATAAACGTTTGCGCAATTTTTCGAAAAAATTTTTTGTACAAATAATTATATTATTTTCTAATTAATTAGTAATATGTACATAACCAAATACATAAACAATGTGTATCATAAATATATTAAAAAATATATTAAAAAGTACCATTAGTTTTCTGTAGATATTGTTGCACGAGATCAGATTGTTCTTTTTCATTCGCAGGTACAGGTTCTTTTTCTAAATTGAAAGGTGGGATAGGTGGTCTCTTGGATTTCTGCAGCATTTGTAAATTCTAAAATAGTACACAAACACATATATTATTCCTTATTATTATATCAATTTGTCAAAAATGCAACAAATGCAAAAATGTGAATGTTATATGTGTTAATATCTTATTTTACTATACATATAATTAAATAATTCACACATACTTTACAAGATAATTTATTGCAAACTTTTGTTTGCACAAAAAAAATTATAAAAGAAAGAAAATATTTTTAATAAAACATTTGGCAATAATCTGAAAATATCATAAACTTTAAATTGCCTTTAAATGTTCATATTGACCTTCTGACTGAGCGGAGAAGCAGGCGTCTCAACGTTTTTCTTAGGTGTTCCGTTTTTTACTTCAAACAGAAAGCGATCTTCCGGTGCAGGCCGTTTCAGTTTCATGCTCTCCTCTAGCCATTCTATGTTTAATATGTGAGGACTGTACAAAATAAATGTAAACAATAAAGTTGTAAATTTTAAATATGAAAATACAGAAAACTAATTGATACAAAAGGAAATATGGAAATATTAATATATTAATATTAAATTTAAAAATTATTCGGAGTTATACATAATCAACTTGTGAAATTTAAAAGATCAAATCTCCAGATCAATCCTCTTATTTAGATTCAAATAAATGTTTTTTTTTCAAGAATATCTTTTAATTAAGAAAAATGAAAAATAAATTCTTTTTTATGAATTATGCAAATAATTAGTGAAATCTTATTTTTTATCATACCATAAACCACTCGATTTTATCGTTTTCAATTTCGCAGAGGCTTTATTTTCATCGCCGACAATTACGTGCGTTACAGCACCCGAAATGTCATCGAAACGTGTCGCACCGCTTACATTAATTATTCTATTTAATTTATCTTTAATGTTGGCCGCAAATCCAACGAGATAAATCTGCAAGAACAAAACATTAATCACAAAATTGAAATGAGAGAAAAAGTGTAATGTACTAAAAAAATTGTAAAGAATGTAAAGAAAGATTATAAGGCGGAATTGCAAAGAAAGATTTACATTACATCCATCCAGAAATGGTCCAGCCGATTTTACTTCACTGAAAGTGAGTCGATCCAAAACGTTTAACATAATATCTGCATGAAAAAAAAACTCTTTTATTTAAAATTGATATGATAAAAGGATTATATTAATCAAATTTATTAAGTAATACTTACTGTTAGAAAAATTATTAGATATTGCGTCTACAGTGGAAAAATTTGATACTGTTGAACTGTAAGTTTCGTTTATATAATTATTATAATGCTTATCATGTGATATAGAACTTATGTTGGAACAGTTGAGTGTTTCTCGGACTGAAAAATATATGGAGAATATTATACTTATTCCAAAATCCATTTCATATGTTAAACTAATAAATTAATTATTATATTAATATAATCTTCAAAATATAATCTTTTTCAATTAATTATTCAAAAAAATTATATTTTTTTTATGACATCATATACAGTTTAATGTTATTATAATTATCGTTTAAAAAATTTTATAAATTATTTAAAAAATTATAAATTTAAAAAACAAAAATAAAAATTTAAAAAAAAACGCGAAATTTATTCGCGAATATTGAGATTTTATTTACATACTATGCGATTTTTCTGGTGTTGAACACGCTTTCACAGATTTGATAATGAAATTATGGAAAGGTAGAGCATGTCCTACTTTAATGCTCTCATATATCCAATCAGGTTGTAAACAAGCGATATTGTTTTCCAAAGCGTATTTTAGTTTATCACTCATCGGGCCACTTTTGGAAGCGAAGACCACTCGAACTTTTGTTCCATCAAGAGGACCCATAAATGTCTGCAAAATACAAATGTAATTCAAATTAATTGCTGATCAATCATAATTATGTAAGATTTAACTTACTCCTCCATGATCATGTATTAAACGTTTAATTTCTTCTTTTTGACGCTTGGGAAGATTTGTCGAAGTAACTATTAGATTCATAAAAACAGGACATTTATATTTATCAAACATCTTATCATTTGCTTGAGTCACATTTTTCAAATTTTCTTCCCATACTGCTTCAACCCATTCTTTTTTCATAATTGGTATTTTCATTTTTAAAGCACCCTTGAAAAAAAAATAGTAATTATCTATAAATGAAAAACAATTTCCTAAATAATATATTTGAATTTAAGCAAATAACATATTATTGCATTGTGTAATATTGCATATATACATATATATCTTAATAGAAATTATTTGAAGAATAACTGAATATTGCATATTTATACCTCATATTTTTCAGACATCACAGAGTCTGCTACTAAATGTGTGACTGAACTTCTTAACTGTTTTGTGAAAAATCCTCCCATATATTCAACCCGTTTTTGTATCTGTTTCTGCAATAACAATTAAAACTTGGAAATTGGCGTCTCGTACAATAACTATAGTTTATTCTTGAAAAAAACTATCAAAATAATTGTATGTACCTTGAGTTCTGGAGTTACACCCGATACACAAATGCACATTCCTCTCATAGCAGTTGTATATATTGGGTTTTTTCCTTCGGGAATCGGTTCTCCATTTAAAAAACAGATAAGCAAGCATTTTGGGGATACTATTCTGCTAAAATATAAATTAATAATATAAATGTTGTTTAGCTTTTTTTATTACATATAACATTAAAACATGATACACATTTATTATAAAATGGAAATAATAACTAATTATTTACATCTTAAATTTGTTTATTGTATTAAAAATTAGTTGTTAAAGTTACTTTTTATACTTACGAGCATTTAAAATTTTGTATTTTTTCAAATAAGGTACCACTGAATTCTTCTATAATAAATATATCATTTTTTGATGGTTTCATCTTGTCACACATCTTCTCAGTAATCCATTCTGGTTCCAAGCTAAATTCACTACATTTCTAATATGAACAAAATAAAATCTTTTATTTAAGTAACTATTTGTGTAATTCATTATAATATAAGAGATATTTAAAAAAATCATTATAAAGATTATAAAATAGACTATAAATAATATTGTAAATATTAGATTAAAATATAAATATGTAAATATATAAAAGTTTGATGATAAAAATTAAAAACTTAAATTAAAAAAGCATTAATCCAAGTTAAACTGTGATTGGATATATACGTGCATATATTATATTTAAAAAACTAAAATATGAAATTTAGTAATAAAATGCATATTAAATAACATTAAGCCCAGACATTTCAATATTATTCTTCAGGATCTTCTTCAGTGAATAATTATAGAAATGTCTAACCTCAGATTATTTAATTTATTTTGTATTATATAAATATTAATTGAACAAAACAAATTGTAAAAATTGCAATACATGCAAATTGAATTTGTACATATGTAAATTCAAATAAGTTATTTGTTTCTTTTTGTTTCAGTTAAAGAAATGCTAAAAATGCTGGTTTTATTGTAGTTTTAAAAAGATTTATTTTAATTGATCTTTCTATATGAAAAAAAGGACACGTCTGATATAGAGAGAATCATAGGCTGCATATAAAGAATAAAATATAAAGAAAAGACACACATTCTTAAAAGCTCAAAAAAAACATACACAAAGTTCAATAGAGAAAGATTCAATCAGAAAATAGAAATATTTCTATTCGACATTTGTGCAAAAAGTGGAGATACGAAAAAAAAAACTTAGGCCATTAATCTGTAAATTCTAAGGATATCGTTAGAAATTAGAAAATATGTATCACTGTGCAGGATTTTTATATCATGTAATAACTGCACAAAATACAAACGATATCGTTAGAAGTTACAGAAAGGAGCTATTGTATAATAAAAAAATATTAGAGTACACAAGTTTTGCTTCTCATTCAATTATAAATTTTGACATTCAGAGAAATAAGAGTGTACGAAAAAAAATGATATATAAGGAGAAAAATAGAAATATATACGAACGTTAAACGCCTGCCACATTTCCTCGCTGCAGTCATTTTCGGATTCTAGATGATCCGGAACGATGAAGTGAATATTTACATTGCACTCGAATTGACTTTCCTGAGTCGTCATTTCTTAATTATACCTCAACTAAAATTACGTGCGAGATAAAAGAATGTTTATATAAACAATACGTGAAAACACATACAAATTGAAGTAGAAGAGAAGAATGAAAGGTGTCACAATCCGCTTTTATAGGCGATCCTTGGTAAAACAGATGAGAGCAATCGGCATTGGCGGGACCATAGACATATAAAATTATAGATGAATGAATACTTGAGACCAACTTAACGGAAAAAGATTAACTAGATATGAAGAAATTGTACAATCTTTTACACGATACATAAAAGATAAGTATATCATTTTATAAATCTTAAAAATATTATAAATTATTATATACATAAATTCTTTTCAAGTATTTTTGTTATAAATAAAAATATAAATAATTTAATATTAATAATATAATTTATTATATAAAGTTATTAGTAATTAATTTATTATATATAAAAGTATATTCATTTATTATATAAAAATACTATTATATATTTTTCAATTCAATATATTCATATTCAATATATTTATATCATAGAAAGGAAGAAGTGCGACAAGTTTTAAAAATCCAACGAAAAAAAGAATAATATTTATTGAAGACATTTCTTTTCTTTAAAAACTATCGCGACTCCTATCGCGACTATACATACCGTAAGAATTTTCCCTGCATTCAACAGGTGATACGTCGCGGCATGATTTTTCAAAAATTTAAGGTGCCTTTTCACACTCGACGCTCATCTTTAACATCACAGACACATCACGAGATTAAAATATAGTTATCAATTCGTCATTTTTTCGCTACTAACATCTTTTGACGCTAAAAATGAGCGTCAAACGTCCCATGAATCTGCAGCTTACGCTCGAGTCACCTCTTCAATTGGCGAAACCTCCGATATCCCTAGTCGTAGCGAAATTTCATTGGTCAGATTCATTAGATTCGCAGTCACCGCGCGATCATCGCGTTTCGGCGACGCGTCGCCGAACGCGACCGAAGGCGGCCGAGCGCGGCCGAAGACGGCCGAAGATGGCCGAACGAGCGCCAGCGGCGCTCGGCGGCGATTGGCCGGTCAGTCTCGTTCGAGCGGGCATGCGTGTGCACACGATTTTAAGTTGACGCTTCACCGTCGTCCAAACACGCTCGCCGAGCGACGCGGTGCATCCCGGCGATCGAAAGTCGGCGATTTAGGGCGATCGAGGCTTGATACGTCGTCCGCGCGCGGGCGAAGAGGGCTCGATACGCGCGGGAGCCTGTGCTCGAGGACTCGCGCGCGCGTCTCCCGTGTTATGACGAAATTCCAGCGGAATCCCGCCAGTGATTTAACGGTGTTGTGTTCGCCAGGTGTTGCCAGGTGTTACCAGGTGAATGCGCGAGCGTCCGCGTCGCGTTACCTTCCCGCGGGGCGAAGAGATCGCGACGACGGCGACGGTATCTCGCGCGAATCTCCACCGCGAGACTCGGCGCCAGGTTTACATAATGCACTTTTAATTGATACGCTGTGAAGTGGTTTCGCGCGTGTTTGAACGCGTCGCGAGAGGACGCGAATTGAGCTCGATCGCGTCGATTCAGGCGACGATCGAAGGCTGCCGAGACGAGGATGGTGAACGGTCGAAGGTGAGCGAAAGAGACGGGGAAGACGGCTCGATCTCGCTCGATAGATCCCTTCGTTCTTGTGGATTCTTACGGACGCCGGAGAAGGTGGCGGAAGGAGGGGAAGCGCGTCGCATCGCGAGGACCGTTTTTTTTTGAAAAAGAAAAGCGCGAACACGAGCCAAGTGAAATTGAGTGGTGACTTTTATATCATTATACAATGTGTCCCTTCTAATTGTGTGCCTTCGCGAACTCTCCTTTGTGGAAGGCGTAAGGAAGAACAGCCGAAGGACATTTCGATCGGAGATCGAAGAGGCGGGAGGAGGGGAAGGACATAGCGAATAGTGAAGTATGCGGAATGCGAGGCACGAGTGTACGTGAAACGAAGACGCGCCGCGGTTCGCCGCGATTGGCGTAGCTCCTTCCGGAGCCTCTTACGCGGCGGCGGCTACGAGCGAGGGAGGAGAGGAGCGAGGGGCTAGAGGGGGAGTCGGCGAGGTGAGGTCAACGGCGCGCAACGGCGAGGCGAGAGGATGGAGCGGCGACCGGCGACGACCTCCGCGAGGACGCGCAGCCTCCTCACCGGTCTTTGCCTCGTCTGGATCATCGGTAGCATCTGTGCCACAGGTGAGATCGTAGAGATTCTTGAGTCGCGGATCCTTCACAGAGAAAAATATCATTCCACTGCCAAGAAAAGCGATTACTCAGTTTACTTTTCTTTTTTTAATTAATAGTTTTCTTCAACAAAGAATATATTCTTGATAATAATCTTAAAATATACTCATCACAAGTGTTGGAAAATCTCACTGTCATGTACTCGAAAGAAGAATTTATTTTCCCTTCGAGAATATTGTAAAATTGTATGAAAGAAAAATCAAACTTACTTTATGCCAACTTTTTGTAGTAAGTAAACCAAATTTTTGTTTGAATTTAATATTCTTGACTAAAATAGATAATAATTGACTGCACTTACTAAAATTCAGAATATATTCAATTAAATTTAATGCTTGTGATAAATTTATGATATATTTGCGGATATACAAAATTATGATATACTTAAAATAAATAATATTTACTTGAATACAGTATACATTTTTCTCTGTGTTCCGATCCTTCGACTGCCCGCGAGAAGATTTCTATCGGATTCTATCGGATTTCTTTTCCCGAAAGACGGATACAAATTTGAAAATTTATTTGCCCGCCGATCGCAGATAATTCTTACTGTTGCATAATCGCGTCTTTCGAGTCGATTGTCACGATTATTGAAAATATTTTAATGGGAAAGCGATATGAAGTATTATTTTATGACACTATTCTTGCAAATTTTGTACAAATTTGAATATTGGAAAAGTGGGAAAAGAGGAATCGATAGATCCACTGGTCCAAGTATTAAACTATCTCGAATCATTTTTCTCTCTCTCTCTCTCTCTCTTGTTTTATATATTATTTTATATACCACTTGTTTTGAGATATTTTCAAGTGTCATATGTGTGATTATTATAATATAAATAAAACTCTGATGGTTATAAATATAATAAAAAAATCTCAGACATCGAATTATGACGAATTAAAACTACTAAAGAGATTAATCTTTAAAAAATAGGTCAGTAAAGAGAAAATTTAAAAAACCTTCAACTACATTTCTCTGTACAGGCTGCATCAAAATTATCATATTTACTTTACGACAAAAATAATTTGAATAATAATATAATCAAAATTTTTTAACTAAATAAAATACATATTTAATAAAAATATTTATTAGCAAATATGAAGATATTTTTATAAAAGAATAGTATTTTTCCAAGAATATTTTATTAAACAAAATAATTACAACAAAAGTACCGATATATATTAAAATAATATGATTTACAATTTATATAATATGATTTATAATTTCTAATATTTATCTACTTATTTATGAAGGAAATAATGTTTGTGGAAGATAACTGATTTATTTGCAGAAAAAGATAATCTAGCTTGTGTAAACGTTAAATAGCTATATAAACGTCGCACGTGACTCGCACGGTGATTACTTCTCAATAAACGTCATTAGAAACCCCCGATGGACCAACACGTCGGGGGAAAAATCTGCGAAATCTCCCCTAGAGCGATCGAGTGTGGCGTAGGAGCGACCCTAATTGAGATTTATTACGACGTTAATCCGAAGCAATTGTGCGAACGAAGTTAAACCGTTGACCTCTTGTCTCGATTGCCAGGGAGGATGACTGCGAGCACGTGCCGCACGAGGACAATTCCGAATTAACCCTTTCCTTTTTCACGTTTTATCTCACGTTCCATGCGAAAGGTGCATAATATATACATGCAATAAAAATTAAATAAATACACATGGGAAATTTATTTTCGCCAAGCTGTAAATTAAGCTGTGGTATCTGACATAATTACAATTATATAATAGTAATAAATTATATAATTATAATATTTAATTATAATTTAATAATAATTATTAAATAATTATAATTATAATTTAATTATATTTATTATTTAATTATAATTATTATTATTTAATTATTATTTAAATATTATTTAATTATTTAATATTATTTATTATTATTTAATATTATTTTAATATTATTTAATTATAATTATTTTATTATTATTATTATTATAGTAATAAGTTATATAAGTATAATTTTAATTTGAATTTAAGTAAAATTAGCAAAATATGTGAAATTAAACAAATTAGAAGAAGGCAAACGGAAGCTGTTCGATAAATATGATTTTAATTTTATTTCTCAATTTTCTGAGTGCTTAGCCGAATCTTTAAGCTTGACCTGAAATTCGACAGTTTGATTCAGCGCACAAATCGCTTGAATTTGAATTTTAAATTTTTATTTTCCTGTTTCGAATCTCTCTTATCGAAGCTCAAAAGGCGCTCGCATCCGGTTTCTCTAGATACAGACATACAGAAGCAAAAAAGAAGAAAAGAATAACAATCTCGCCCTTCATTTCGCTTCTGGCACGCGCAGTTCCGTTGTAAAATGAAGACACAGACCGCCATTGATTAAGTTTTCTTTAAACAACGTCGAGCATTGATATCGGTCGTCCAGTATAAAGATAAAAGATGATAAGAACCGCGAGACAGAAGAGCTTCGTTCTTTCCCGAATCCTATATTTTATTTTTTCTCCATTGCAAAGACGGAATATAAATTCTTGCGCCATAGATTGTCTTGTTAGATGACATTCATGATAATCCCTGGAAATCACAAAATATCTTATTTGATCGGGTTTCTAGCAGGTAGTTGTAAAAATATACACGTATCACGTGTGATAAAACTATGATAAAATTGTTGAGATACTTTAACGTTGAACTTTATGACGTATAATATAATAGTAAAATAATATTAATATTAATATTAAAAAATAATAAATTAATATTAATATTAAAAAATTAATATAAATATTAAAAAATAATTAATAGATATTAATTTAAAAAATTTAAAATTATTAATTGTATTGTACTATTATATTATATTATTATTTAATGAACTTAACTGGAAAAAGCAGAAGTTTACCGGATGTATAAAAAAGAGTATACACTCAGTAACCTGTGTTTAAAAGCCAGAATGTAGAACCGGTAGTGATAAAAGCCATTGCCAGTAATGGTAACCGTACGCACGTACATGTATACACTATGAAAGGTATCTATCATTGGCGTCAGCTCGTCCGAGGTACAATAGAAGACAAGGGTCTTTACCTGATCCTCGACGTAAGTCCCCTCCTCCAGCTTCGCTTCCCTCATCTATAGAAAAGTTCTCCTTTCTATGGTCCTCTACTCATACTATATCGAGCGCTATACCTTTCTTTAGCTAGATAGAGCTATTGAAGAACCTCGAAGAGAACAAACTTTCTGGATTAGCTATTTGAAAAACGTGACGAATTTCATTCAAGGAACTGAAGTAGTAAAAAAATGCAAAACTTGAAGACGCCATTCTTAAAATAGTTTTGAAGATCATCACTCTTATCGCAACTTTTAATACTACATCGTTATTTATATTTTCTTGAGCCTTCAAACTAAAATTTTATCCCCGTAAAGTCAACTTAAACTTAAGAGCAATATATTCTTATCATATATATTTTTCCTCTGTTTGATTTTTTGAAAACTCAAAATTTTTATGGAAGAAAAATCGAGTCACAAAATGTAAGTTAAAAGAATCCGTAGATTGAAAGTGGGAGACATCTTTTGTAATAAATTTTATTGCTACACCATTCGTCGCCGACAAGCACGATAACGATTTGAGTCGCGATGGCAGATAAAAACCCGACAGGCGGCGATCGTCCGCGGCCTTTACCGGTGTCGAGCGGCCTTAGGCCGTTATCCTCTCGGACCCCGAGCGACCGGATGTGCCGTCCGTTTTGCTTTTACCTCTCCATCTCCATCAAGTCATCTTCATTATCATTATCATCTCCCCGTCCTCGATTTTGATATCTTCCTTTTTCCCACGCATTTTTCTTTCTCACATTTTTTCCGCTTTTCTTCCTCCTGTCTTTCCCCTCTTTTTTTCCCAATTTATCGTTTTACTCGAGCGATTTTATTAGATCGTAAAAATATAAAAAAACAGTAAAAAATGCTTTCATAAAAGTATATTCAATTTCCACTAATTCTTAAGAAGGAAAAATATTTTAGTTTTTTCGGGAAGGTAGAAAAGATGCCGAGGTATGTCGCGGGAAGCAAAAAAAGAGAAGAAGAAATATTGGACGCGAACCGGAAGGCCTTTGAATTCCTGACCTGCCGTTTTGTTTCCCGTCATTCACAGCGTCGAATTCTTTATCGGGCCTTCCGTCGGCTTCTCTCGAAAAAGAGGCGAGAGAAACATTCGGAATGCCATGGGAGAGGGGGCCGGGGTAGGGGAGGGGGGAGAAAGAGAGCGCCGCTCTCAGCGCGACCACTATTGTTTCGACCTCGTTATCGTCGGCAAAAAGCATGGGGCCCCCAGGTCCGCGCACACCGTGTGCGCGCCTCAGCCTCGCTGTAATTCCCATTATTATTCGCCATGGAAACTCGGGGACGCGAGGCAGCGACGCCGCGGAACGCGGCGTAGCCGGTGCACGAGGGGCCACTGACCGTCCCCCCCGGCAAGGCTTTCTCGTCTCTTTCATGGCTTCTTCCTCTCTCTTCTTCGTCCTCTTCCTTAGCTTCTTCTCGGTTTCCCCCCTGGCTCAACCGCATCGCGGTTATCGTGAATAGGAACTTCTTACTGCTGCACGTACAGTAGACAAGCTCCGTATTCATCTCTATATTTCGCCTTCATTTTCGCGAACAATCACTCGGATATTTAATTTTGATTGAAATCTAATCGTAGTTTGAATTCGCCAAAGAGATTCTCGATTGCCCTTACTTGTTTCTCGGCAATTGTCTTTTGATCGCCTGCCAATAATAGATACTTGTCGCGGTGATTACATTCCCAGTAAATTTCTCTGTTCGAGACAAAAGAATTGTTCTTTCTTTCTCGTATTGTAAAAACCGTATTAGTATATTTCGTATCTTTTCTTTATTTTTTTCATTTAGATACAGATGTGCATAAAATAGTATAGCTTAAAATATGGTTTTAAGCCATATTTATGTCATAAAATATATATCTCTAAAATAGATTTAATATTATGTCAAT